TTGTCTTATGGAATGATTGTGAAGTGTATGGTCACAAATATTTGGTGTTTTGCCTAAAATAATTCAATATAGATTCCCATTGACATGAACTTGTAAGTGAGCTTTAAAATATATTTTGTGAGTATACTGCTATTCACTGAGGAACAATTTTAATGTAAAGGATTTTTTAAGTTGAGATAAAGCATATATATAATAAAGTATGTAAATACTAAGAATATGTAAGTCAGTGAATCTTGAACTATATTCAAGGTTCAATCTGTATACTCTTCTAGTCAATATCATGGAAAGAAGACAGGCAGATAATAACTGAAAGCTTCAAAGATAATAAGGCTGTTTCTTGTTTTCATTTTGTTTTTAATTTCTGGTACTGAGTATTGAACACAGTGTTAAACAAGTGTTCTACTACTAAGTTTCATCCTCAGCCCAATGATACTTTAGATAAGTTAATTGTAACATCGAGAAAAATATCAATGCTTATGTACATTATTGGGGCAATATGTGGAGAGTAAAAGGCAGTTTTTACAAATAACTCTGTATTAAATAATTCTCAATCATGAAATCATCATGTAGAATGCTGGAAAAGTAATACACTCATTGCCTTGGTCATGTAACTATAACCCCTCTGTACAGCATCTTTACAATAAAATAATATTAAAAAAGAATTTTTAAAGTTTGTTGAATCAGTTAGACTGATAGAATGAGTTCTTAAAAAAGAGGCTCATTGTCTTTTTTATTTCCTTCCTTTCTAGTCTGAAAATGCAGTTCAAGGATAGAATTTAGATAAGAAAGAAAAAGATTTACAGTTGCATTTTGCTTGGAAGTACCCTAAAGTAAATGATATCACTGGTAACTGTCATAGTGATATAACAACAGAAATAAGAAGTTGACAATTACCAAATACTTACTATGAGCCAGGCTGTGTATTAAGAGCTTTATATCAAGGCACCTGTTCTTTTAAGTGCTCCAAGTGATAGGTTCTATTTTATGCCAGTTTCATGGATGAAATTAAAGAGCACAAAACTTGAGTATACTCACTTGTCATCTTTGGGTAGGTTGGCTAGAACATATTTAATTTAATGAGTACACTACAATTGTTCTTCAAAATAGGGAAAACAGAATCCTTAAGTAAAGAGTATACTCTGCACAATTTGTGGACTTCTAGAAAGATAATTAGGTTTAGGTTATTCCAATCAAGGGAAGTTTTAAACTACTGGTGTGTTTCTTTGTCCCATGAAGATTTGTCCAATACAGGAGATCCATCATTTCCTATCACGGGGGATATTATACAAAACTCCAATTCACTTTTGTCCACTATCCAATTATATGACTATTTAATATTTTACTAGACTTACAAAGCTTGTGTAAATATATATATATATATAATTTTCTTCCATTGTAGTTGTTAATATTGCCTTAAATAGAATATATAGAGACATATCTATATATCAATATATGTCTATCTATAGATATATGTATAGATAGACACATAGAGAAAGATTGAATATGGTTTAAATGGGAACATAATAAAGTACAGTAATACCACTGGGGTTAATAAGCTTCTGAACTGAATAGGCAAAGTCTAGAGAAGCCACAAGACAATCCACTAAAAGAGTTTAGACCATGAATTCTTTACAAGTGAAATCAAAAGCTGAAGACAGTGAATGGCTAAAAATTTCTACAGCTAACTAAACCCATAAAGATGCATACTTCTCTTTCTTTAAACAAGAATCCTGATTTGAAAGATTCTTTCTTTAAAGGTTCTTAAAAACAGTCTAACCCTCTCTTCCCCTTCCCCCATACTTTTTCCTTAACTTCAGTCTGCAGCTTACCGTGGGTGCTTACCAAATGTTGTTGACTGACAAACAGAAATAATGTTTTTTCTCTTGCTTTGTCGCCTTTCAATCTGTTTTTTACACTATAGCCAGAGTGACATTAGTAAAATATCAATTTCACAGGATACTTTGCATTCCTTTCCTGTCACTTGCAAATTAAAGGTGAAAACCCTGTTATAATCTAGAAAATCCAACTTGATCCAGCTGCAGTCCTGTCTTGAGTATGGTTTGTGAAGTCCATGCTCAATGATCTTCACTCAGAAGCATGAACAGGCTATGCCAGCACCACTAAAGCCTTGTATATTTCTGACTTTCACCTAGTTCATATTTCTCCTCCATCCTTTCCTGGTCTAACCTCATATTTCAGGTATAAATTTAAAAGTCATACCCGAGGCAAGCTTTCTTGGCTTAGGTCCACTCACTCCCTTTTGAATTTTCTCATTACCATGAATCTGTCCTTCAAAACACACTACCATTTTAAATTTCTATTATTAAACCAATAATAATGTCTCTCCTCACTAACAGATGAAGTCTTTAAGGGTAAGAACTTTTTCTAAATGTAATTATACTAGTACTGCTTTAACCCAGTGCTCTGTCATCTACAAAGCATTCAATAGATATTTATTGAATAAGGAAATGAATAAATGAATGGGTGAATATGTTAACTCTCTGGTCACATTAACAAAGTTATAGAAACCAGAAATATCCATGACATTTATCAGGTTTGATCCATGTTTGATCATATTAAGCAATCCTCAGTGTTTATGGCTATTTAAGCAGATAAAGTAAAATTATGTAGTATGAAAGTTTAATATGTAATCCTAAAATATAGGACTTGAATATGGGGCTTGTTCAGAAATAGAATTTAATTTCTTACTGCCCATCCTTCTTACCTTAAGGCTGGATGGCCATGGAATTTAGTGAATCTTCCTAGCTACTAAGAAATTATTAGTACTCTTAAGTAGACACTTATTAAATAATAATGGCTCAGGAGCACTTAGACGAGTTTGATTCACTGAAAAGCTATGTATCCCATAAGTAGCAATCACTCAAGAAAGATGTCATTCTTGGAGAGTTGAGTTCTGAGTCTAACTCTGGGTCAAAACACACAGTGATGCTAAACTCTTTTTCAGCAGCCATTTCTGTATGTATTTTTTTTCCTCTTGAATAACACTTCAACTGGATTGAAAACATGTCAACCTGATAGAGCTAGAAATTGAATCCAGAAGATGAGATATTAGAGGATTCGGGAATAAGAATTTGTGTTATTCATATAGGTTCTGCCACTAATGTAGTTATAACATATGTTTCTAGTGGTGACTTTCCATCACTACATGAACAAATAAATAAATAAATAAACTGCTGTGCTTGAATAAAACAGAGCAAAGGTGAACCTAAACTCATACCTAGGAAACTCACAGGAGCAAAACTATGGAGGCCAAAAGATATGGGAAGATCAAATCCAAGTTTGCATTCTTATTGCATTCCCATTGTCTTTCCAGTCGTTTTGTTGTATTTTAAAATGTTAAAGCCGGTAATGTTTGACTTTTAAAATTAAGGTTCAAAAGGTATTGTAGTTAACACCAGGGATAATCTGAACCTGTGATTATTGTCTAATTTTTTCTCTAAATTTGATCTAGTAGATGCATATTTTCTTGTTTTTTAGTTTTATAAAGAGTGTGGCAATTGCAGTAAAGCCTGGCTAGAGACAAGATTCGTTTATATTTCATTTGATAGAAATCATGTATCCCCAGCCCATCAATATATGATCGGTGCAGGGAGAGGCATGCACTCCCAATTAATTATTCAATAGTCACTTGATACACACAAAAACAGGGAAAATAGCAAAATGGAGCTAATCCTTCTGGGGAGACAGACTATGCCTTTATCCCATTTCTGAGATAATCAAAAGAATCCAGCCTTTTGTTTTCCTTCCAGGACTAGTGGTGATCTTTGTACTGTGTTTTCAGCTCAAATTTTCACAATGAATCAATGCTGCAGAACAGTCTTCCTGCATTTGCTCTCCTGCCTTGAGTTTTCTTATGCATCAGGTATTATGTTGTTCAAATATACATCTGCCTAAATTCTAAATAGTTTGTCATAAAGGAAAAAACCAACTAACCATGTGTCAAAATAAAGTGCATTTCAGAAACATCTAATTTTGCTTTTCCTTCACATTAGTTTTTCTATGCTTTCTCCACTTTTAACTGCTCCTGATTATGCATGATGCCGGGTTCTCTACATTAAAATGCACAGAAAAATTTAAAAAATTCATTTAAGACACCCTCCCACACAGTACAAGCTGTCATTGTGTCATATTTGTTTCCTAATTTAAGAAAGGAAGTCATATTTCATTAAGTTGCTTTCTTTATCACTTAAAGTGGCATTAAGATACTTGGAACATTATTTTCCTATACAACTATAATCATTTTTATTTCTATAGGAAACAGTGCACAGGTATGCAACTTCAAATTATTCTGATAAAACCATCTTATGCATAATTAACAATAGTGTTAGATTTGGTGAAAGAGAAAGATGTTCTGGTTTATTTTTGCAGAGTTCAAGTATAAATTCAAGTCCTAAATTCATGGAAATTTCCTGGCAAAGGTAAAGTGCACTATGGACCATAGAATATACAAGCATCTATAATTAACCTAAATCTAATATATCAAATAGAAACCTACACAAAGGAAGAACACAATGAAATAACCCTTTATTTCACCCTCCTCAATCGATTGAAGACTACATACCATTCCTAAGGACCTGCTTTTTTCCTTCAAATCTAACTCCTTTTGCTGTTTAAACAATTACAAATGTTTATCAAGTCTTATTTCTTTTAAACTCGAGTTTGAGAGAACTGCCAAGTCTAATAAGATTTACAAAGGGTAGTTCTCTTTAGCAGTGTCAGCAAAATTAAATAAATATATAAATAAAGCAAAGACATTACACAATAAAACAGCTGCATATACAGCTTCTGTCCCTATTGCTTTCAAAACCAGATTTAATAATTCACCATTTTCCCCAGTTCAGCTACAAATGCCATTTATCTCTGGGTTGATTGGCTTGATTTGACCCACAGGCTATCTGTCTACTTCAAACCCTTCCATTATGTCTTCTGCTTAGCCATTGATACATTGATGTCTCCTCCTTTTCAGACTTCTCATTAACTCTTGTTCTCAGGTTCCCCTGTATTCATGAAACATTTCCTTTGGTCATTGTCAGATAGCAAGACACATAGAAGAAATACACAGGAAACTATATTTTATATGTAACGGGATGAAAATAAAACTTGGGAATTGTTTTTGTTGTTTATTCAATATTGCTTCAAGCCTCAAGAATCCCAGAAATTACAACTTGGCTTCCCTACTCTGAAAAAATGTCATTAGCTGAATATCCTTGGAAAATCTCTTAGAATAGCTCACACACATCCTGTTTATTAGCCTGCAAATGCTTCCCAAACCAGAAACGTCTACATTATTTCTCTTCCAAAGGTATTTGTTAATCAAGAAATGGTATTTAATCTGTAGCATTTCCAAACATTAGCTGACCTGTCTCACGCTCCAGGAAACCACAGAAATCCCCCTCCCCCCCCCCTTAAACATAACAAATGTAAGACTTGGACATAACCATGGAAACCAATATTATTCCCCCAAATCCTCCTGCTTCTGAAGAAAATCTTCACTTTCCCTGTTCTTTTTCTACAACCAAGAGAGAGCCAACCTTTCCGCTCTATTTGAAGAAGCATTGCAGTGTCTATGAACTCTGCCTTTCTGATGCTTTACCCCAGTCACCGTGTGGGCATTTCTTAGCCATGACCCTTGGGAACCTCTCCTGCACTTTGATTTTCCCCCAGATACATGGGCAGTCTTTCACATGCTTCTCTGCATCTTAGAGTGGAAGCCTGCGTATTGTAGATTTAGTGGTAGGGTGGGGTGGGTAGTCGAGTGGTCAGTTACATGAGCAATGACCTTATGAATGAACACCGAGAACCAGCTGGCTAGGCTAGGCACCGAATGAGGTAGAGAGGCCATTCAATTTGCCACCACTTGGAAAGCAGTGGGGGTGGATGACAAAGGCTTCAGGGGAGATGGGGGTGGGGGACGGATACCAAAGATGGGGACTGCTCAATGCTTAAAAAGCTGTGACCAGAGGAGCTATGGGGGTCGGGAGGGTAGAGTGGCTTGCCACTCCAAGCAAACTGTTACAAACACTGTCCAGAAAGAAAGAAAGAAAAAGAAAGGAAGGAAGGCCCCCATGCACCAGCCTAGCCCAGCTGCCTCGCCCTGCCACCCCCACCCCACCCCTGTCCTGCCCAGGCCGAGAACTCCCAGAAGTCAGGCGTCGGGTCTTACCTTGGCTGCAGTCCTTTCCACGGAAGCCGGTCCTCGAGCAATCACACACGGCCTGGTCGTCCACCACGGAGCACACGCCTCCATTGAGACACACCCCGCCCTCGCCCTCCTCGCCCGCCTCGCAGGGGCTCCCGCCACCACCGCTGTTGGGCGGCTCGTCGTCCAGCTTCACCTCCCCACTGTCCACGGGCAGGGCCTGGGAGGAGTTGACCCTCACATCTCGAATCCAGCCCTTGAAGGGCTCACGCTCCCTCACCGAGGCCAGGGTGAGCTTGAGCGCAGCAGCGCGCAGTTCGGGGGGCAGGCCGCCCACGAAGAGGCCGCTGAACACGGTCATGTCCCGGCGCTTGGACTTCACCTCCACCCACTTGGCCTCCACCTGGTCAATGTAGAGCGTGGTGTTGCGGAACTGGCGGCGGAGGCGCACGTGGTGCCAGGCACCATCGTTGACGGGCGTGTCGGCCAGCAAGGTGGCCGGCTCGGCGCAGAAGATGGAGAAGCTGAGCTGCAGGCGACCCCCGCGGGTCAAGATGAGCTCCAGGAAGTCGCAGAAGCCTTCGTCGTCGAAGTAGAGCACGAGGCCCCGTGCGCTGCGCGTCTTGAGCTGGAAGCTCATCTCGCTCTCGCAGCAAGCGTTCCACTTGGGGAAGCGTGTCCACTGACCCTCGGCGCCCGGGAACTCCAGCCCGCTGCCCAGCTCTGCCCAGCAGCCTAGGAGCAGCAAGGACAGGCATAGGAGAAAACAACCCCCACGCTGAAGAAGCGCCGTCCCCATGCTCGGAGCTGGGGTGCGGCGGGGGGGTGCCGGGGCCGACAGGGTCAAAATGGTCCTGGACACCGTGATGAAGAAATGGGGGTCCAAGGAGGAAGAGGGGTTTAGGGGATTGGCAAAGGCGGGAGGGATGCCACCCTCCCTTAGCTGTGTTTTGATTCTTCTTCTCTTCCAACAACCCCTTCCTCTTTCCTGATAGTCTCCTTTCAGTTGGAAAATGTAGACCCCCGGGGTACAGGGGAGCAACAGAACTTTGAAACCAAAGGGAGGATACACTTTGGAGGCAACGTTTTGAAAACAAAACAAAAACAAAAAACACAAAAACAAATGTGTCAACCTATGACTGAGAAAATCACTGATTCCGTTGGCATCCAATGATCTGATGGTAGGTGTCCTTTGGTGTCAATAGTTTCTCTGCTCCTCAGATACCATCATCTGCCTGGTGCCACCAGTGTGGCACCAGACAGAAAAAGGAGGAATTAAGAATAAGGAAATCTCCAGATGCCAGCACTGAACTAGTATCGTTGGATGCTTTCTCTTCACATGTAAGGTCCCAAACCAGGATGGAATAGAGGATCTTTGCTTCTTTAAGTGACCACTAATTAACCCAAGGAGCTTCAAAGGCCTGCTTCTGCTTCTTCTGTCGTATCATAGACTTCCAATGTCACTGTCTGTAGCCGAAGCCAAATTCCTTGTACATGGCCTCACAAGCAGGATGTCTCTTGTCTTTTTAACCTCCCCAACAATTGGACTCCACCCCAGAAGTGGTGAAACACACAAAAGCTGTTAGATGTACAACTGGCCACAGCTCTTCTTCTTTACTCTCCACCTCTGTCTGCCAGGCCAAGCTAAGATGTCAGCATGTCAATTGGATGTGTGTTGGAGATGCATTTTCATTTGATTTTGCCTTTTGATAAGGACCCAAAAATCTGTAGAAAATTAAAATAAAAAAATTATGATCTAGATTCGAATATAGCATCACATAAATCATTATTCAACCCAGAAAGCAGGCACCAGACTGGTTCTATTTCTGAACTAAAAAAAAAAACAAAACAAAAAAGTGAATGAAAATTAATCTCATCGGAAGGATACAGCTTATTTGTACTGACCTACAAGTAAGGCCTAATATTTCCTGGTAGTTAAGATCATGCTCTTACAATAAGCTATTTACACAACTTGGCTTATTATAGTTGCTAAGGGTTTTAAATACAGATTTAATTATGCTTATCTTCTTCATCTATTTCCACAGATGCTTAATTTTAAAATACAGGAGGAGAAAGAAAGGGGAAAAAAAGGCAGTTAAGGATTTCTATTTAGATTGTGTGCTAGTTATATGGACAAGTTAAAATACAACCTATTCAAATCTTAGTTAATAGCAAATTTTACAGCAGGCAAATTAGATCAAACTATTGTCAGGAAGCTGCCAGCTAAGATTTGTATGGTATTCCTACAATCATGTTTTTTTCAGAGACCAAGAATATAGATGATTTCTTGGAAGTCTCTTCTTTTAAAACAAGAACATTCTTTGTTTTTAAAGGAATAATAGAAAAGCATGTAACTGGAACCATGTATGCATATATATGTATAATATCATTATATATATATATATATGTACCACATAGTGTAGATATGCAAAAAATATACATGCAATACCTGTGCCTCAGCTATCAAAATATTAGTTCTTCTAAGAAAGAGAACTTAACATTTTGGCTAACAGTTTGGTGATCTACCTTCTCCAGTCCTTACCTGGAGGTGAGCCTCATAGCTCTTAAGACTCTAGGTGGTCAGAGCAGCAGCTGGCATGTATGTCACCTCAGCTACTGTGGTAGGATGCTAGGATTTAAAACCACACCTCTGAATCATCACTATGCTCCTAAATCACTTGTATTTATTCAACTCTCTTCTGACAGATTCTTGAAAAGCTACTGAAATCTCAACTAGAATTGTGTTTCTGAATATCTTTTCCTTTTTACTAAAATTTTTCTTATATTTTTGAGAAAAAGGATAAAGGTAGCATCTGGTTACACCAAGCTAATTCATATTATCTTCTCACTATCTCCTCCACATAACATGTAATGCACACATGAGTGCACACACACACACACAACACACATTTTACTGCTTGGACACAGAAGCTTACTAATCAATTAACACTTTTTTCTCCCTTCAAGCTGAAACTAGCAGTAATTTATGGCTCCGCATTGTGCTGCCGCTCTTCCATGAAGGGAGCTGAAAGCATTTCTCTTCAGTTCAGTGCAATCCCTACAGGTGTCAGCTGAGAGCCACCAAGCTAGGGAATCCCACTTCAAGTTCCTTCCCAGATGAAATTGATGATGGGTTCTCTTTCAACAGACACACTCACACACACACACACACACACACACACACACACACACACCACTACACCACTGTCCACTACTAAAAGGGAATTAAAAAACCAAATTACTGATTTATTATGGATGATAGATTTCATATCACCAGCAATCACAAATCATATTTTGTATACTCCTATGCCAAACCCAAAGAAAGATGTTCTTAAAAACTATCAATAATATCATATGACTCAGTATATTTTCATTTTTAAGTGAACTCAGAAATCTGGTAATTTTTCAATAATTTACAAAGTAAGTCTGGAATATCACCATCAAGAGTACTGCTTTAAACCTATTGAGCTCAGGCATTAGGAAACCTCAGTGTGTGTGAGATTGTTGAATCTGATTATTTTGATAATTGCACATAGATCACATAACCTTCTATCACCCCTCTCCTTCACTAATGTACACACTGATAATTTTGTAAAGGCTGGAGAGGAAGGTTACACACACACACACACACACACACACACACACACACATATTCCTTAACACAAGGGCGATCAACTGGATATCTCATTGTGTACTTATACAGAGAAAGAGGAATTCTCTCTAGGTGCCAGAAGACCTGGTGAGTTACAAATTATAGGACGAAGAGAATGATCCCCCCAACAAACAATCTTACTGCAGCCAAAACAATAAGCGGTCTAACTCAAAAGCTGAGATAAAGCCACAATAATCTTTTCTCTCATTTATAGAATCAAATTCATTCCCAAGTCACTGGAAGGATCAATACAGTATGCTGACCTCCTGCAGTTGCATTTATTTTATTATGTTTATGGTAGCACACACACGCACACATATCACTCAGGCTTTAGTATGCATCTTAATAAAGAACCTGATTTAAGAAATATTTTATAATTTTGCCCCTGGCTTTTGCAAAGTACTTCAATACCAATGCACATCCCAAATTCTCCCAGGCTTTCCCGCCCAGTCTCGAAGCTCCATCGCTAATACCAGTGCAGTTTCTTCGAGCCTGAAGTCTACTGCACAGATTAAGGGTAAGCATAGCATGAAGCACCGAGGAAGAAAGATACAGATTTAGATATGCTGTATTTTATTGTTTGGCTCCATTTCCAACCAACCTGCTATTTTCTTTCTTTTGATACTAAAATCCTGCCTTTAGCCTTTAAGTTACTACCCAGTTCCACCATCTCAGCTTCTTCTCGTTTAAAATGCTTCATGCAAAACAATCAAGATCTTCACTCATCCACCCCCCCCCCCACCATCCCATCCTTCCTTGTGTGTTTGTGGCAGATTCTGGCTCAGTTACGAGCAATCTTCCCCAGCTTGCCTCGCCCCATCATCCCCTCCCCCCACACACATACACACATCAAAATTGAGGTTTTTCTTTTCTTTTCTTTTTCTTTTCTTTTCTTTTTTTTTCCTTTTACCTGCCTGGGTTATTTCCCCTTAGCTCCAGCCAGAGCCTGAAGCAGGTATCGGTCAAAGCGAATTTCCTGAGGTCTATGGATAAGGCGACTGCCGCTGCGTTTTCAGAAGCTTCGGGCTGGAGCGTCTATCTCCAGGAGTGCGGGAGGGGAGAACATGCAGCGGAGGGGAGCGGGAGGAGCAGGAGGAGGAGGAGGAGGAGGAGAAAGAGGAGGAGGAGGAGAAGGGAAAGGCTGGGAAGGAAGAGGCAGTGGTGAAGCCCAAGAAGGCTGGGTTACGTGACGCCGGGTGCTGTCCTTCCGAAAGAGAAGGGCGGAGCTGGGCTCTCCGCAGTACCATGGAGAGCGGCGGCCCGTCCTCCGGCTGGGGACTGGGTGGGCTGGGCCCGCAGGAGCTGCGCCCCTGGCTCTACGGTGCCGGCCCGGTGCTTCTACCTTGGCACCTTTGCCTTGTCCTCTTGTAGGAGAGGCCGATCGTGGGGGGGGGCGGGGGTCTGCAGCTAACTTGTCAACACCCTCCCTCCCCACGAGAGAGAGAGAGAGAGAGAGAGAGAGAGAGAGAGAGAGAGAGAGCAGCAAAGAACCACGTAGCCCACTGAGCATGCCCAGGCCTCTGCTAAGAGCCACGGAAAACCGGTGGAGATTCCACTTCTCCGGGGTTTAGTCGTGATTGGGCGGGGGTACCTGAGAGGGTGCCAGGAAAGAGCTCCACGGCCGAAGGGAGAGGAACCAACCGAGGAAGAGTCGGTGATTAAGATGAGCTCTAGCTTTACTCCTGCACTATGGTCGGTCTCCTGCTAGGAGCCCCAGAAAAAGCGAGCTAGCAGCCCTTCCAGGAATGCAAAGGGGACTCACAGCAGGTCGGGCGTTTGACAAGATCCCACGTTCCTGCCCCACCCCTGACCGTAGCTCTGCCCTGAGGAACCGCAACAAACCATCCTGGTGTAGGCGGCGATCAGACTAAACTGGGAAAGGAGACAGAGAGAGAAGAGAGAGAGAGAGGAGAGAGGAGAGAGGAGAGGGGAGAGAGAGAGAGAGAGAGAGAGAGAGAGAGAGGATTTAAAAAAGAAGAAAGGTTTAAGAAGGACCCACCAGGCGAAGGCGCCAATTTGGAGAGCAGCCTCATGTGTGTGACAAGGTGCTTTTCGCCGCAGTCTCTCTTCCTTCCCCAGCTTTCCGTGCTCAGCCTCGGCCTTGGGCATCCTGAACTGAACCAAGTTCTCTACCTGTTTAACTCTTC